TAAAAGATCCTCTGTACATTTTCTAGTTTTACTAATTTATTGTGAGAAGTAAAAGATCCTCTGTACATTTTCTAGTTCAAGTATAACGGGCGTCACTTATCGCATTTAAATTTCTCGTAAATATTCATCATTTTCTTGGCCTTGATTACATTCGTTTTAAATTCTCTGAACGTAATCTATTATCATCCTACTACTTTGAATTGCAAATGTTTATTCCTCTTGGTGAGAGATTGATTTGCTGAACGATAGATAATTTTAAATGAAGTCCAATAGACATGCAACCCCCCTATATAATTGCACTTATGATTTAAATACGATATAAATGAAGTACGCACAGATTGACGGTAAATCTCTATATAATTATACGTAAACCTTAACTACAATAGAGGTGAGGAAGCATCACAAGTGGTATCACTTGGGGTTGGTGGTTCACTTAGTGTTGGTGGTTCACTTAGTGTTGGTGGTTCACTTAGTGTTGATGGTTCACTTAGTGTTGGTTCACTTAGTGTTGGTGGTTCACTTAGTGTTGGTTCACTTGGTGTTGGTGGTTCACTTAGTGTTGGTTCACTTGGTGTTGGTTGTTCACTTAGTGTTGGTTCACTTGGGGTTGGTGGTTCACTTAGTGTTGGTTCACTTGGTGTTGGTGGTTCACTTAGTGTTGGTTCACTTGGGGTTGGTGGTTCACTTAGTGTTGGTTCACTTGGTGTTGGTGGTTCACTTAGTGTTGGTTCACTTGGGGTTGGTGGTTCACTTAGTGTTGGTTCACTTGGTGTTGGTGGTTCACTTAGTGTTGGTGGTTCACTTAGTGTTGGTTCACTTGGGGTTGGTGGTTCACTTAGTGTTGGTTCACTTGGGGTTGGTGGTTCACTTAGTGTTGGTTCACTTGGTGTTGGTGGTTCACTTAGTGTTAGTGGTTCACTTGGTGTTGGTGGTTCACTTAGTGTTGGTTCACTTGGTGTTGGTGGTTCACTTAGTGTTGGTGGTTCACTTAGTGTTGGTGGTTCACTTAGTGTTGGTGGTTCACTTAGTGTTGGTGGTTCACTTAGTGTTGGTTCACTTGGTGTTGGTGGTTCACTTAGTGTTGGTTCACTTGGTGTTGGTGGTTCACTTAGTGTTGGTGGTTCACTTAGTGTTGGTGGTTCACTTAGTGTTGGTGGTTCACTTAGTGTTGATGGTTCACTTAGTTGTTGGTTCACTTGGTGTTGGTGGTTCACTTAGTGTTGGTTCACTTGGTGTTGGTGGTTCACTTAGTGTTGGTGGTTCACTTAGTGTTGGTGGTTCACTTAGTGTTGGTGGTTCACTTAGTGTTGGTGGTTCACTTAGTGTTGGTGGTTCACTTAGTGTTGGTGGTTCACTTAGTGTTGATGGTTCACTTAGTGTTGGTGGTTCACTTAGTGTTGGTGGTTCACTTAGTGTTGGTGGTTCACTTAGTGTTGGTGGTTCACTTAGTGTTGATGGTTCACTTAGTGTTGGTGGTTCACTTAGTGTTGGTTGTTCACTTAGTGTTGGTGGTTCACTTAGTGTTGGTGGTTCACTTAGTGTTGGTGGTTCACTTAGTGTTGGTGGTTCACTTGGTGTTGGTGGTTCTCTTAGTGTTGGTTCACTTAGTGTTGGTGGTTCTCTTAGTGTTGGTTCACTTAGTGTTGGTGGTTCACCTAGTGTCGGTGGTTCACTTAGTGTTGGTGGTTCACTTAGTGTTGGTGGTTCACTTAGTGTTGGTGGTTCACTTAGTGTTGGTGGTTCACTTGGTGTTGGTGGTTCTCTTAGTGTTGGTTCACTTAGTGTTGGTGGTTCTCTTAGTGTTGGTTCTCTTAGTGTTGGTGGTTCTCTTAGTGTTGGTTCACTTAGTGTTGGTGGTTCACCTAGTGTCGGTGGTTCACTTAGTGTTGGTGGTTCACTTAGTGTTGGTGGTTCACTTAGTGTTGGTGGTTCACTTAGTGTTGGTGGTTCACTTGGTGTTGGTGGTTCTCTTAGTGTTGGTTCACTTAGTGTTGGTGGTTCACCTAGTGTCGGTGGTTCACTTAGTGTTGGTGGTTCACTTAGTGTTGGTGGTTCACTTAGTGTTGATGGTTCACTTGGTGTTGGTGGTTATCTTAGTGTTGATTCACTTAGTGTTGGTGGTTCACTTAGTGTTGGTGGTTCACTTAGTGTTGATGGTTCACTTAGTGTTGGTGGTTATCTTAGTGTTGGTTCACTTAGTGTTGGTGGTTCTCTTAGTGTTGGTTCACTTAGTGTTGGTGGTTCTCTTAGTGTTGGTTCACTTAGTGTTGGTGGTTCACTTAGTGTTGGTGGTTCTCTTAGTGTTGGTGGTTCACCTAGTGTCGGTGGCTCACTTGGTGTTGGTGGTTCACCTAGTGTTGGTGGTTCACTTAGTGTTGGTGGTTCACTTAGTGTTGGTGGTTCACTTAGTGTTGATGGTTCACTTAGTGTTGGTGGTTCACTTAGTGTTGTTGGTTCACTTAGTGTTGATGGTTCACTTAGTGTTGGTGGTTCTCTTAGTGTTGGTTCACTTAGTGTTGGTGGTTCTCTTAGTGTAGGTTCATTTAGTGTTGGTGGTTCACTTAGTGTTGGTGGTTCTCTTAGTGTTGGTGGTTCACCTAGTGTCGGTGGCTCACTTGGTGTTGGTGGTTCACCTAGTGTTGGTGGTTCACTTAGTGTTGGTGGTTCACTTAGTGTTGGTGGTTCACTTAGTGTTGATGGTTCACTTAGTGTTGGTGGTTATCTTAGTGTTGGTTCACTTAGTGTTGGTGGTTCTCTTAGTGTTGGTTCACTTAGTGTTGGTGGTTCTCTTAGTGTTGGTTCACTTAGTGTTGGTGGTTCACTTAGTGTTGGTGGTTCTCTTAGTGTTGGTGGTTCACCTAGTGTCGGTGGCTCACTTGGTGTTGGTGGTTCACCTAGTGTTGGTGGTTCACTTAGTGTTGATGGTTCACTTAGTGTTGGTGGTTCACTTAGTGTTGGTGGTTCACTTAGTGTTGATGGTTCACTTAGTGTTGGTGGTTCTCTTAGTGTTGGTTCACTTAGTGTTGGTGGTTCTCTTAGTGTAGGTTCATTTAGTGTTGGTGGTTCACTTAGTGTTGGTGGTTCTCTTAGTGTTGGTGGTTCACCTAGTGTCGGTGGCTCACTTGGTGTTGGTGGTTCACCTAGTGTTGGTGGTTCACTTAGTGTTGGTGGTTCACCTAGTGTCGGTGGTTCACTTGGTGTTGGTGGTTCACCTAGTGTTGGTGGTTCACTTAGTGTTGGTGGTTCTCTTAGTGTTGGTTCACTTAGTGTTGGTGGTTCTCTTAGTGTAGGTTCATTTAGTGTTGGTGGTTCACTTAGTGTTGGTGGTTCACTTAGTGTTGGTGGTTCACCTAGTGTCGGTGGCTCACTTGGTGTTGGTGGTTCACCTAGTGTTGGTGGTTCTCTTAGTGTTGGTGGTTCACCTAGTGTCGGTGGTTCACTTGGTGTTGGTGGTTCACCTAGTGTTGGTGGTTCACTTAGTGTTGGTGGTTCTCTTAGTGTTGGTGGTTCACTTAGTATTGGTGGTTCACTTAGAGTTGGTAGTTCACTTAGCGTTGGTGATTCACTTAGCGTTGGTGATTCACTTAGTGTTGGTGATTCACTTAGCGTTGGTGATTCACTTAGTATTGGCGATTCACTTAGCGTTGGTGATTCACTTAGTGTTGGTGATTCACTTAGCATTGGTGATTCACTTAGCGTTGGTGATTCAATTAGCGTTGGTGATTCACTTAGTGTTGGTGATTCACTTAGTGTTAGTGGTTCACTTATTGTTGGTGATTCACTTAGTGTTAGTGGTTCACTTAGTGTTGGTGGTTCACTTAATGTTGGTGCTTCTGCTCGTCTTTGGTTCTCGTTCTCGTCTTTGATACAGTATATTAGCACCACACACCTATGATACAGTGTATTAGCACTACACACCTATGATACAGTGTATTAGCACCACACACCTATGATACAGTATATTAGCACCACACACCTATGATACAGTGTATTAGCACCACACACCTATGATACAGTATATTAGCACCACACACCTATGATACAGTATATTAGCACCACACACCTATGATACAGTATATTAGCACCACACACCTATGATACAGTATATTAGCACCACACACCTATGATACAGTGTATTAGCACCACTTATGCAGCATATGGGAATCTTTATTCAGGAAACGTTTCGCCACACAGTGGCTTCATCAGTCCAATACAAAGAGGAAGGCGTAAGGAGAGGAGTATGAGGTAATCAGTCCCTCAGCCTGGAGTCGATGTGTTCAGTCCATCAAGATTGATGGACTGAACACATCGACTCAAGGCTGAGGGACTGATTACCTCATACTCCTCCTCTCCTTACGCCTTCCTCTTTGTATTGGACTGATGAAGCCACTGTGTGGCGAAACGTTTCCTGAATAAAGATTCCCATATGCTGCATAAGTGCCTCAATCTTCAACTTGTCGGTTTTTCAAACCATTCATCACACACATTAGCACCACACACTTATGATACAGTATATTAGCACCACACACTTATGATACAGTATATTAGCACCATGGACCTATGTTAAAGTTTTAGCAACCCACACCCATGATATTCTCTACAAAATTTATCAAAAGTTGATAACAGGTTGCGTGTGTGTTGCCGTTACAGCATCACTGTCGTTGTTTTCCCTCACCATCTTATCAGTGTTTTGATATATTAGTGTGAGTACAGTGTTCACACTCACCAGTATATATATTGACACCTCACATGATTATGTACCATATAGTACCACAGTGTTGCTGGGTCATGTAACCTAGTGACTCCTTGTTGACCTTGTATCCTCATCGCACCTCACACTCTCGCTCTCTCACTCTCTCATCTGCTACTCTTCTCTTCTTTCGTTGTAATAAGGGAACTGCTTGCTGTTGAAGTTATTATTAAAGTGCACATCAGCAGCTCAGTTACGGGCTGGCCTGCCAGGCTGCTATATAATATGTGTACAATGTTATATTTTTCAGCAGTATATTAGTGCGTTATAGTGTGATGAGTGTTGCTGCTAGACTGTGCTAGTGGTGTACTGCACCACAAGATGGTGACATAGACCACACATTCCACTCCTAAAACAACCCTTTAAAAACATTCCCAAATTTGCCAAATGGTAACTTAAATCAGGAAGTCATAGTTCAAACCGGACGAGGTGTCTTATATATTGTACAAAGCAACATGGAGTCGTGTGCCAAGGACTCGACCCCCTCAACCGCCAGCCCACAACATCCGTCGGTGGGTGGCGGGCCGCCGCCCCCGGGAGGGTTACAATACACAGGCGGGTATGGGTGGCGGAGCTCAGGTGAGCGGGGGCCTGGTCAGGGGCCCAGGATGGCTGGGGGCGCCTTCCTCTCCAGGAACCGCATAGCCGTCAGCCTAGTGAAGAACGTTGTTAATATGGGACCTCTCACCCGCCAGTCAGAACCCAAACCCAAGGAGATCGACCAAGACGAAGCCTTCGTTGAGGAGTCTGGCATTAAGTTGTTCGAGTCCCGTGCTAAACCCACTGATCGTGACGACAGTGTCGACGACGATGACGACGACGATGACGGCGGCGGGGACGACGACGATGGTGAAGAAGATCCCCTGTACGAACTCGATGTTTTGGACGACACCATCGTGGAAGAAGGTGAAGATGAAGAGGAAGATGATGGGAAGGTAGAAGTGAAGAACAAGGACGACACAAAGACTGTGAAGACGGAAGAGTGCGGTGAGATAAGAGAACCTCAGAAAGAAGAGCAACAACAACAAGTTGAAGTAGTGCCTCCCATAGTGCCCCAGGAGGGACTACCGAAGACAGAGGCCAGTAGCAGCAGCGTCAGCAGCAGCAGCGGCAGCAGCTCCACCAGCAGTGCTAATAGCAGCTTTACCAATATGACCAGCTCCAACAACCTTTTCAACAAGACCAACTGTAGCGTCAACAACATGGGCGTGAGCGCCAACAATAACATGGTGGGCGTAGGCGTGTGTGAGGGTGTTGGTCCAGTGAGCAAGAGAGACTCGTGCAGCAGCAGTAGCGGAAGCTCCAGAGACTCAGGCATTAGTGATGGCTGGGGAGAACCTCTCATAAGAGGCCGCCCGCACCGCCTCTCCTTGCCGCCCTCCGCACGCCCACGTCACCAGTTCACCATACGCAAGGTGGCCGAAGCTGAGGCCGCCCCAGCCCGCAGGAACAATGATTACATTGACAGTCGTCTAGCTGAACGCCGGAGCCCTGACCCCACTGCCGCCTCCCGCACCGCCCACACACCCATCTGGTTCAAGCGTCACACTACGGTAAGTCAATTGCACCGGCCACACGCCCATCAGGTTCAAGTCACACCACGGTAAGTCACTTACATCACCCACACGCCCATCTGGTTCAAGTCATACTATGGTAAGTCACTTGCATCGCCCGCACGCCCATCTAGTTCAAGTCATACTATGGTAAGTCACTTTCACTGCCCACACACCCATCTGGCTCAAGGGTACATTTGGTAAAGAATTTCCAGACGAGTTATGGTTATGTTTGCCTAGATTATTTATCGGAGTCATTCCAGGAAGTTGGAAATGGTTTCTACAAGTGTGGTCAGAGGGTACATGCACATGCCAAGTATTCCTAGAATTTTGACCTAGTTACCATACACCAGTGTCAGTTCCTAGTGTTTGTACCAGAGTTGACTGGTTGCTGGTGTGGGGGTTATTTGTGCATTGCTGGTGTCGGACTACTCACTTATATTGATACCTTAGTTAAGTGGACCAGGGGTCCCCACCTGACCTCCAATTTCAATAACATTTTATGTGAAGGTTGGCATGTATATCAAACTAACTCTGGGAAAGTTTTAGTTCGTGATATGCATTAGTAGTAATGTTATGACCCTCAGAGTGGAGGCTGGTGAAAATTTCACGACCCACGACACACAATCAGTAATGTTCAGGTTATTGTTGTGGTAGATCTAGAAGAATAAAAGCTATGTAACTAGACATGCCTATGCAGCTTTTGGAGCTGATTTCAAAAATCACAGTCCTTAAACTTACATGCTTTTACTTTTTTTTCACAGTGTGAAGCCAAAGTAGGCCAAAAAAATATGTTGCGTAAAATTGAATCTTGAATTCATCTGCCTGTATCTCTAAAGGAAAACATTATTTTAGTATGATATTATTGTAGCCGGCTACCGAAGTGGACATCGTCACATTCCTAAAATATCAGACTCCAAAAGTTTTAGTTCCTTTGCTAATGGTACCTAAAAATACCCTCACAGTCCTCACAGTGAATTTTATGCCATTTTTGGAAGACCAAGAGTAAAAAAATGCAGCACAGCCAATTTCTTATGAAAAAAAAGGCTTCATTAGAAAGATCAGATTCTAAACTACAAGATATTTATTTTCTGGATAGGCGTTTTTCCTTGAAGGGAGAAAACAGGTTTTAAAATAAGGTGATTTTTTTGGCTTGTACAACGTTATAATGAAATCCAGGCATTTTTCAGTTGTTGTTATAGAGCAACAACGGCTAGAACCTGGTGTTTAAGTGTCCTTATACAATTTTCGGTGGCGATTTCAGAAATTGTTATCTGAACTGATAGGGACCAATATTTATTTTGCAAATTAAACTTAAAGTTGCCGGAAAAGTGTCGTGACAACTTTTATTCTCCAAGATCTGCCACAGCAATAACCTGAACATTGCTGATTATGGGTCGTGGGTCAGTGAAATTTTCACCAGCCTCCACTCTGAGGGCCATAACATTACTACTACTACATATCATGAACTAAAACTCCCAAAGTTAATTTGATATACATGCCAACCTTCATGTAAAATTTGATCGAAATTGGAAAGTCAGGTGGGGACGATTTTCGAAATTGGTTCACTTGACATGGATTGACCCTTCTTACAATTATTTTTATGAATATCATACGACGCGAGAAAATCTTTACTTTTTTTTCACTGGGTAAGTGAGTGTTTACTTAACCACTGATTCCCATCATTGGTAAGCCAGTGTTTACTTAACCACTGATTCCCATCATTGGTAAGCCAGTGTTTACTTAACCACTGATTCCCATCATTGGTAAGCCAGTGTTTACTTAATCACTGATTCCCATAATTGGTAAGCCAGTGTTTACTTAACCACTGATTCCCATCATTGGTAAGCCAGTGTTTACTTAATCACTGATTCCCATCATTGGTAAGCCAGTGTTTACTTAATCACTGATTCCCATCATTGGTAAGCCAGTGTTTACTTAACCACTGATTCCCATCATTGGTAAGCCAGTGTTTACTTAATCACTGATTCCCATCATTGGTAAGCTAGTGTTTACTTAATCACTGATTCCTATCATTAGCAAGCCAGTGTTTACTTAATCACTGATTCCCATCATTGGTAAACCAGTGTTTATTTAATCACTGATTCCCATCATTGGTAAGCCAGTGTTTACTTAATCACTGATTCCCATAATTGGTAAGCCAGTGCTTACTTAATCACTGATTCCCATCATTGGTAAGCCAGTGTTTACTTAACCACTGATTTCCATCATTGGTAAGCCAGTGTTTACTTAATCACTGATTCCCATCATTGGTAAGCCAGTGTTTACTTAACCACTGATTCCCATCATTGGTAAGCCAGTGTTTACTTAATCACTGATTCCCATCATTGGTAAGCCAGTGTTTACTTAATCACTGATTCCCATCATTGGTAAGCCAGTGTTTACTTAATCACTGATTCCCATCATTGGTAAGCCAGTGTTTACTTAATCACTGATTCCCATCATTGGTAAGCCAGTGTTTACTTAATCACTGATTCCCATCATTGGTAAGCCAGTGTTTACTTAACCACTGATTCCCATCATTAGTAAGCCAGTGTTTACTTAATCACTGATTCCCATCATTGGTAAGCCAGTGTTTACTTAATCACTGATTCCCATCATTGGTAAGCCAGTGTTTACTTAACCACTGATTCCCATCATTGGTAAGCCAGTGTTTACTTAACCACTGATTCCCATCATTGGTAAGCCAGTGTTTACTTAACCACTGATTCACATCATTGGTAAGCCAGTGTTTACTTAATCACTGATTCCCATCATTGGTAAGCCAGTGTTTACTTAACCACTGATTCCCATCATTGGTAAGCCAGTGTTTACTTAATCACTGAATCCCATCATTGGTAAGCCAGTGTTTACTTAATCACTGATTCCCATCATTGGTAAGCCAGTGTTTATTTAACCACTGATTCCCATCATTGGTAAGCCAGTGTTTACTTAATCACTGATTCCCATCATTGGTAAGCCAGTGTTTACTTAACCACTGATTCCCATCATTGGTAAACCAGTGTTTACTTAATCACTGATTCCCATCATTGGTAAGCCAGTGTTTACTTAACCACTGATTCCCATCATTGGTAAGCCAGTGTTTACTTAACCACTGATTCCCATCATTGGTAAGCCAGTGTTTACTTAACCACTGATTCCCATCATTGGTAAGCCAGTGTTTACTTAATCACTGATTCCCATCATTGGTAAGCCAGTATTTACTTAACCACTGATTCCCATCATTGGTAAGCCAGTGTTTACTTAACCACTGATTCCCATCATTGGTAAGCCAGTGTTTACTTAATCACTGATTCCCATCATTGGTAAGCCAGTGTTTACTTGCTCACTGATTTCCATCATTGGTAAGCCAGTGTTTACTTAATCACTGATTCCCATCATTGGTAAGCCAGTGTTTACTTAATCACTGATTCCCATCATTGATAAGCCAGTGTTTACTTAATCACTGATTCCCATCATTGGTAAGCCAGTGTTTACTTAATCACTGATTCCCATCATTGGTAAGCCAGTGTTTAGTTACCACTGATTCCCATCATTGGTAAGCCAGTGTTTACTTAACCACTGATTCCCATCATTGGTAAGCCAGTGTTTACTTAATCACTGATTCCCATCATTGGTAAGCCAGTGTTTACTTAATCACTGATTCCCATCATTGGTAAGCCAGTGTTTACTTAACCACTGATTCCCATCATTGGTAAACCAGTGTTTACTTAATCACTGATTCCCATCATTGGTAAGCCAGTGTTTACTTAATCACTGATTCCCATCATTGATAAGCCAGTGTTTACTTAATCACTGCTTCCCATCATTGGTAAGCCAGTGTTTACTTAATCACTGATTCCCATCATTGGTAAGCCAGTGTTTACTTAATCACTGATTCCCATCATTGGTAAGCCAGTGTTTACTTAATCACTGATTCCCATCATTGGTAAGCCAGTGTTTACTTAACCACTGATTCCCATCATTGGTAAGCCAGTGTTTACTTAATCACTGATTCCCATCATTGGTAAGCCAGTGTTTACTTAACCACTGATTCCCATCATTGGTAAGCCACTGTTTACTTAATCACTGATTCCCATCATTGGTAAGCCAGTGTTTACTTAATCACTGATTCCCATCATTGGTAAGCCAGTGTTTACTTAATCACTGATTCCCATCATTGGTAAGCCAGTGTTTACTTAATCACTGATTCCCATCATTGGTAAGCCAGTGTTTACTTAATCACTGATTCCCATCATTGGTAAGCCAGTGTTTACTTAATCACTGATTCCCATCATTGGTAAGCCAGTGTTTACTTAACCACTGATTCCCATCATTGGTAAGCCACTGTTTACTTAATCACTGATTCCCATCATTGGTAAGCCAGTGTTTACTTAATCACTGATTCCCATCATTGGTAAGCCAGTGTTTACTTAATCACTGATTCCCATCATTGGTAAGCCAGTGTTTACTTAATCACTGATTCTCATCATTGGTAAGCCAGTGTTTACTTAACCACTGATTCCCATCACTGGTAAGCCAGTGTTTACTTAATCACTGATTCCCATCATTGGTAAGCCAGTGTTTACTTAATCACTGATTCCCATCATTGGTAAGCCAGTGTTTACTTAATCACTGATTCTCATCATTGGTAAGCCAGTGTTTACTTAACCACTGATTCCCATCACTGGTAAGCCAGTGTTTACTTAATCACTGATTCCCATCATTGGTAAGCCAGTGTTTACTTAATCACTGATTACCATCATTGTAAGCCAGTGTTTACTTAACCACTGATTCCCATCATTGGTAAGCCAGTGTTTACTTAATCACTGATTCCCATCATTAGTAAGCTGCCATCATCTCGGAATTACTATACCACAAATTAAATGTTCTCTCTTGCGTGTGACGTGTTAGAAAACGACTAAATGAAAGTCCTAACGGGGCTGACTATTGTATCAACATTGACGGTAGAAGCAACAGTGACAGTAGAAACAGCAGTG